CTCATAACATGTGCTTTTATTACATAAAAATGTACCCTTCTTTCTTTTCTTTATCTTGTATTTTGTTCCACTTGGCTTCACTGGGAGATTTGAAAATGAACTGATGCAGAAGGTAAATCCAGAAAAGTTTAATGCAGTTTGTACTTCCAACCTGAAAGCTGTTATACCTTCAGCTGAATTTTAGTTAACATGCTACGTATTTCAGCAGACTTTTAAAATTTTCCTCAATGAATTACTTTTCTCTAAACAGTTAATTATGAGAACAGAAGCATGCTAACAAATTTAAAAATGAGGGATCTCTAAAAATGATCATAAAAAATGTGAATTTGAGAATTACAATGGAAAGCCAAAAGAAGGCTTTCATTAGGCTGTTTGCTTTTTCATGAGAGGGGTTATAATGTAATTCAATTGTTTAAGATCATTTCAACAGAAAGAATCAGGAATTCGAGAAACGAAGGCAAGGGCCAGCTGGAAACCACGCACTTAGCAAATACTATGGAGCAGAGAACTGTGTGCCAGCCCCACTGGGCCTGGCCTTGGAGGGAAAGGGGCACTCATATGGGGGCGAGGTGGGCAAGCAGCAGGCAAGGCAGGCCTGCGTTTGGTAGCAGGTGGAAGGAAAGTGGGGGAGAAGATGTCGTTTCTTGTTTAGATGATCGGGCAAAGTCTCCCCCGGAGGTGACCTCGGCCTGTGCCCTGGGGATGAATAGGTTTTAGGGACGGAGGGGGGCGTTCCTGGTGGCGAGAATGGCAACAACCAGAGAGGGAGGGAAACAGAAAGCCACAGACGGGATATCGTGGGGAAATAAACAGATAAGCAGGTAGTTATTCTATAATCCACGTTGGCTTTTTATGAACTAGTTGGTAAAATCCCTGAGCGGATAGCAGAGAGGCGGTGAAGTGTCGTTTTAAGAACTCGGTCTCCTGGCCCAGCACGTTCTAGCTGCGTGATCCTGGTTAAACTGCAGGAGCTCCCTGACCCTCACTGTCCTCTTGTGTAAAGTGGGGCAATCATACCAGGATCACTGGCAAGAAGTAATAAGCTGATGCCTATAGAAAACTTAGCGTAGGTTAGGTCCAGAGTACGTGGCAGATACATTCTGACTCTTAATAGCAGCAAACAACAAATCGTCCGGAAGTATGAGATTTTTCCTTTAAAGATCTTTCGAGAGTAGGAGTGTGTTGCAGCCTCCACGGGTCCATCTCTAACCTTGGTATTGCTTCTAGCTGGCCCAGCTCCACCAAAGGAGAAGGGGCAGGTTAAGGAGGCCTCAGAACAGGGTTCTTGTAGAGTCTCCTGCCTGCAGGTTGACAAGTCGACCGGAGCAAAGTACAGCGGGCTACAAAAGCCGCGTGCAAGCAATCTCCCCGTGCTGGCGACTGAAGAAACCTCATCCTTCCAGGCCTGCCCCGGGGCATACTGGAAACTGTCCTCATCGCCGCAAGTGATGCTCCAACTTCACTTCTGACTTCTGGTGCGGGAATTGCCCGGGACTTCCAACAGAGCTGAGCTTCCAGGGCTTAGCTGTTCGTGCTTTGCAAAAGGCGACTCGTGAGGCCTATCTGGCTGTCCACTTGGAAGACACCAACCTGTGTGCTCTCCACACCAAGTGTGTAATAATGTTGCCTGAAGACACACAGCATGCCCCACGCGTGGAGAATGTACTCAGGAATCCTCTATGATGGGAAACAGTTCATTCTCAAAAAAAAAAAAAAACAAAAAACAAAAAACCGGCACCTGGGTGGCTCAGTCGGTTAAGTGTCTGCCTTCGACTCAGGTCATGATCTCGGGGTCCTGGGATCGAGCCCCACGTCAGGCTCCCTGCTCAGAGCTCATGTAAATGCTCACTCTCTCTCCCCTCTCAAATGAATTTAAAAAAAAAATCTTAAAAACAAAAACCAGAAAAACCCCACAAAAGGTTCTCTTCTTGTTATTGGTAGTCCTGAACATTAGATTTTTTTTCCCCATGGGGTCAGAAGGTACCTGAGTATGTGACTGTGAATGGAAACACAGGGGGCAGAAATCAGATCTTGGCAGCGTTTCCACTTTGATTTGTGCGCAAATTTTTATTTTTATTTTTTTAAGATTTTATTTATTTATTTGACAGAGAGAGAGCACAAGCAGGGGGAGCAGCAGAGGGAGAAGCAGACTCCCCGCTGAGCAGGGAGCCAGATACAGGACTCGATCCCAGGACCCTGGAATCATGACCTGAGCCAAAGGCAGATGCTTCACCGACTGAGCCGCCCAGGCGTCCCTGTGTGCAAATTTTTAACATAAAAGTGGAGACATAAAGCATTTGTGCAGGTCGAAATGCTTCAGCAAGAAACTTCAGCAACCGAATTTTTTTTTTAAAGATTTATTTATTTATTTGAAAGAGAGAGAATGAGAGAGAGAGCACATGAGATGGGGGAGGGTCAGAGGGAGAAGCAGACTCCCCGCTGAGGAGGGAGCCCGATGCGGGACTCGATCCCGGGACTCCAGGATCATGACCTGAGCCGAAGGCAGTCGCTTAACCAACTGAGCCACCCAGGCGCCCCAGCAACTGAATTTTATAACAATTATACACAAACCTGCTAAGTGTTTCTGGATCGTGCAAGCATCTGGATTTTCTTAGAGCAAGCAGATCATTTATGGACGGCAACTAAATGGTGTCCGCCGCATCTGTATCCTACGCGGGATCCCACCCACACAGTCTCTTCTCCCTGCATGTCCTGCACACATCTGTCCTCAGTGCTATTCCTGTAACTTTCCTCTTAAAATACATTAAACTCTAAAAACATTTTTTCTGGGGAGAGTTTCAGTGTTCCTTATGCATCCAGATTTGCTGTGTTAGCTTCTTGGGATGCGTCTCAGTCAATGCCAGTGGTTTGAAGGATCTGGGGTCCAACACACATGTGGCATTCCCTTGCCAAAAGTAACTGAAATGAAGTTTCTGGAAGGCACATTTTTTCCAGTTGGCATGATAAAGTATAGGGATATTGTCATATTCATTAAACTGGCTTGTTGTGTAATTCCTAATACCTACCGCTAACATGTGAATGAGAATAGAAATTGAATCTGTGTTCGCAGCTCACTCATCGGGAGAACAGGACGAGGAGGCAGACACTGTATTAATAAAATGTGTTTAAGCCCTCCTCTGTCTGTATTGAGAAGTGCCCAGAATTTGGTGTCCCATGGGCATCAACGTCAGAACAGTGTGTACTCATTGCTGACAGCACCGGTGCAGGGATGGCCCAGGCAAAGCCGCGGTCTGCGGGCTGAGTGCGCACTTGGGCGAGTCAGAGGTGTGAGTGCACACTGCGGCTCCATCCGGGTGGGAGGCCTGTGACAGTGGGATAGCGTCCCCTCATGTCCTCCAGTGCCTCCGAGAGCAAGCCACATGCACAGGCCGGTGCTCCAGTCCGGCTTCCGAGGGTCGAGAATGTGTGCGTTCCCATGCGAACACTGTGACAGCCGCCAGGCCCTGGGGCGTCTTGCTCATCACCGCTCGGTCCTGGGTGTGGAGACGTGTGGCAGCGTCTCTGGGACAGTGTGCATGTGAGTGACGCCTACAGATCTTCTCGTTCCAGGGCTGAGATCTGAGTTGTCATGTGCATTCTTTCCAGAAGGGTATTTAACGTTTCCTTCTGTGCCCCTAAGCAGTTACCACGTCCTGGGCAGTCACAGGTGCTGATGCTCCCCACCATCCCGAGGCCCTGTGATGACTCTCACTATGCAGCCAAGGAACTGAGGCCCAGAGAGGTCCCCTGACACAGGCGCAGCCGGGAGCTGGCGAGTGGCCGGGGGATCTGAGCCCCACTCGGTCCGTACCGCCTCTCCTTCTGGTCCTTACACAACTACGAATGGGTCTGCTTAAAACTCTGAGGCCTCTCTGCAAGCAGTAAAATTCACTGCTGTTGCAGAACAGGTGGACACACAGCCTTCAACCGCTGCGTTACTTCAGTGTGTCAATCGGCAGGGTGCAAAGGGACAGAACATGGGCCCTGTCCTGAAGGACACAGTGCCTCCGGGTGTGAAACAGGAGGAATAGCCAGGCTCAAGAACACTAGGCTGTGACTAACTACAAAGTTTTACCTGGCTTTTTTTTTTTTTTTTTGAGATACAATTCCTATGCCATCAAAATCACCGTGTTAAAGTATGTAATCCAGTGTTTTTTAGTATATTCACAGAGCTTTGCAACCATCACCCTAATTCAGGTATACATTCTCATCACCCCCAAAGAACCCCCAGACTTGTTAGCAGCCACTCCCCACTGTCTGCACTCCCTCAGTCCCTGGCAATCACCTACCTACTTCCTTTCTCCTCGGATTTGCTCATTCTGGGTGTTGCATGGAAATGGACTCACCTAGTACGTGGCCTTTAGTGCCCGGCCTCGTGCACGGAATGTCATGTTCTCTGGGGTCCTCCACAGTGTGGGAGGTGCCGGTGCTTCATTCCTTCCTGTGACTGAGTTATATTCCCTTGTGTGGATGGACCCGTGTGTTTGTCCACACATCAGCTTGATGGATGTGCCCTTGGCTTGAAAATTGTTTCTGGGAAGGCTTCCTGTCAAAATAAAATTTTAATTCTGTCAGGTCCTTTGTCTTACATTTGCTAAGGATTCCAATTCATTCTGCCTCAAAGGTTTCATGACAGAATCCGCCACTGCAATGAATCACGCAGACCCTTCCTTCCGCTGGAGTGTCGTGGGGCCAGCAGACTGCCCATGGCTGGGCCTGACTTCTGCTTTGAGACCCTGACCCGCGGGGCTGCAGCAGGCTCTCGGGGGATGCGCCCATCAGCAGACAGGAGGACGTGTGCATTTCTCTGAGCTCCTCCCCAGTGCTCCTCTCTCCCTGCCCATATTATGTGGTAGTGGAATCGGGGTATTAGTTCCTGTTGGGTTTGACTTTTTCCTTCCTGAGTTGTTGAGTCTGCCTCTGTGGCCATGATATGCCGTTCTCCTGAGACTTAGGCTCTCTAAAGGCTTTTCCTAAAATCTATCTTCGTCTCTTTTCAGGTCGACCCAGTGTTTACAAGGGAAGTAAAAGCCAAAGTAAAGAGGTAAGTGGAAGAAGCGAACAAGCATTTTGCAGGACAGGAAGCCCAGTGGCCAATCCATCACCCCCATTCGCATGCTTGCGCCACACTCCCTGCACCCAGGTTCTGTTCCCGGCACTCACAGATGCCGCCTCGTGTAACCTCCCCACGATCCTGGGGGGGCAGGCGCTCTTACTCCCCCCACTCAACAGGAAGGATGCTATGCTGGTAGCGTGAGCAGTGCCCTCGGGAGTGGAGATGCCCATCCTCCCTCGCTCAGGGAAATGCCGATGAAAACCGCTTTGAAGTTATAATTTCCACTGATCACATTGGCAGAAACTAAAAGACCTAAGGTATCAAGCGCTTGGTAGTACCGCGGGAAACTACGGTGCGTTTGCCAGCCCGCTGCAGACGCTCCAGAACACAGGCTGAAACACGTTGTGGCTAATTGCTCACGTAAGAAGCGACCAGATGTGGTTGGCCCAGGACCGCATCCTTAGGGTGACACGTGGCCCCAGGGCCCCTCCAGCACATTCTGAGTGTTCAGTGGGGACCCAGGAAAGGGCGGGGACCAGAAGGGTCATCTCCCGTTTAGGTCAGCCCCCTTTTAGTTGGTTTCCTCACGGTACCTCAGGACGGCCCCTCCATGTCACTGGCCACCGTCAGCACAGGGGACTGCGAAGTACTGATTTCATCCCCCTAGATACATGGGCATCTTTATATCGCTCAGAGACCCAGAGCACTCGCAGGTAAAACCATAGGCAGTTATGTGAGTGGTGGAGAGGGTGTTGGAGGAAATGAATCAGTGTTGATGGATAAAAAAAATAAGACAAAACCTGTATGATATGTCCACTCCGGGCAGTGGGCACCTGGGTGCTTGTTGTATTCTCCATTTTAGCATTTCTGTTTATTTTATGTCCATTACTGTCCCTATTAGTATTTTTTTAAACAATCATTTTAGAAATGGTCACATTATTAGAAAAAGTGGCCAGCACCTTATGTTTGACTTCTGATACCTGGGGGGCATGATTCACAACGACGGCGGTTCGTCAGGGGTGGGGAAGGGCAGAGACCCTCCTCCCCATATAGTGCCGTCCATAATGCCGACTTCTCCATCTGGAGAATTACTGTCCTTCCTCCAGCCCGCCCCCCCCCCCCCCACCGCCACAAGACTCCCAGCGGCAAAGAGCTGTCCCTGCTCCTATTTCAGGACGGCTGGGGTGCGGCTGCTGGGAGAGATGCCCCAGGAGGACCTACACGCAGCGCTGAAGAACTGCTTCGCGGTGGTGAACAGCTCCGTGTCCGAGGGCATGTCCGCGGCGATTCTGGAGGTAATGACCCAGCCGGAGCCCCAGAGGCGGGGCCAGGAAGCACCACGTCCCTCCTGTTCTCCTTTACGAGGTGGTGTCCTTGTCAATCAAGGTCTGCGGCTTTGCGCCTCTCAGAGCCTTAGAAAGCAAAACAGCCTTTCTTTGGAACCTCAAAAGTAGTTTTTAAGTTCTGAGACTTAAAAAAAAATCATTTCATTTCGCTTTACCATTTGTCCTTGGCAGCTACAAAATAAAATGAAACTACGTCACCTCTCTGACCCGCTAAATATCTTAGATGGGAGGGCGCTTCGGTTGTAAGAGGTGGGGCCAGGAAATGGGATGAAGGTGTGTGTGGGCAAGAAGCCTCCTTCTTCTTGATTTTCTTCTCCTCCTTTAGTGTGCTCTATAATCTCAGAATTCAGGGGACAACAATGGTGGGGCTTGCGCATGTGGCGGGGGGGCGCACCATGGAGCGGGGGTGACAGGTGCACGGGGAGGGGGTGGGCAGGGGCATGAGGGGAGAGCTGATCCCCTCGTCTAGCATTCGGCTCCAGAAAGGACTTTTTCTTGTTTTGCTGTCACATCCTTGCGGGCTGGACTCCCGTTCAAGAGCAAGCTCGGCACAGGGTGGCCTCCGTTTGCTCTGTCCAGGCCCGTGCTCAGTCCCGGAGTTCCCCCAGAACATTCGGTCACAAGTCACAGCACGCGTGTGGTCACGAGCAGTCACGTACAGCTCCAAACACGTGCCATGCGCACGGCAGAGGTGCCTAATTAGGGACTAGCTCACGACACAACCTGCTCGAGAGAAGGAAGCGCCAGCCATTGGGCCTCTGGGCCTCTGAAGCGGGTTTCATGTGTTCTCACTGGGGGGAGAAATGCCTGCTTAGAGCGAAGCCATCCGTCCATCCTATTTGTAACATCCATTTCTTACTTTGGACACTAACTGAATTTACTGCACTTGCTGGCAGAAGGTACAATTTAGTGTTTCACACAGCACAGTAAATCACAAAAGCAGCCAAAAAAAATAACCCTCCCTAAACTGAAGGACCAACTGTTGTCTCATGACGAATATTTCCTGTGGCCTCCTTTAAAAAAAAGCAAAACGTAAAACCTGAAGCAACACCGGGAGCCAGGGGTAGAAGCTGCACATCCACGCCTCGATGCCAGAGCACGCAGTGTGGACCATGACCCGCTCGTCTTCAGGTGGAGACCTCTAAGCTGGGCGGGTGGCGTTGTCCAGCCACGGGAGCTGCGCCCTTTGCCTTCACACCCCACCTGACAGCTTCAGAAAGGCACGTTCTTACCCCACCCATCCTTGAGCTGGTGCTGAACTGCTCCTTTGTATGTAAATATACATTTTCTTGCTCAAGTTCCCAAGAAAAAGTGAAGTAGAATTCAGGAATGATTTCATCACTGGCGCCCAGTGCATCTCACTGCGGATGAATTGCTGTCAAACCTCATTTCCTTCAAAGGCAAGGCAGCTGTTAGCGAATGTGACTGTCTTAAATGTTGATGTTGTGCTCCTTTTGCAAACTCCAAAATAACCTTTGGGTTGAAGGTTTTGAATGAAGCTGATTTCAGGGGAGTGGTCTGGGTGCATTTCATTAGAATCCATTCAGATAACCCAAGTGGTTAATCACAGAATGAACGCATATCACTTTTGAAGGAAGGAATCTTTCGACCTCCCAGAATTAGCTTTGTTTTCTCATGGAAGCATATAAAAATCTCATTTGCTAAAATACATCTCTTACCGAGAAATTCCAAAAATCAAGCTCGAGCTAAAAGTGTGGGCAGTAGGGTGAATATTCCTACAGCGAATCTGTGGTTTCCAGTTTGGGCTGCTTATGGAGTTGCATCGAATGAAGTTGAAATAATACAGAAAAGTATGTTCTTACCTCAGTCCTCCCCACCCAGAACGCGCGCGCACGCGCGCGCACACACACACACACACACACTCTGCCCTCCTGGTCAGTTTCTGCTGCCTAGGGGGAAGGAAGGCTGTATTCTAAAGCCAAGAGTAACAAGATAATTCTCCAGCTCTTAGCTTCCAGGCCCAGACCCTCGTGATTGAAGCCTCCCTGAAGGGCTCTACAAGCACAGTTGTGACTCCGTGCCCTTTTGGCTGTGGTAGTTTCAAAGTGTGTCAGGTGTGTGGCCTGGCTGTGCCCTTCCCACTTTACAGAGTGAAGGGCCTTTTGAGGCATCACAATGAGAAGGATGTCACAGGCATTTAGAGCGGGGTGAGAGGGAGAGGCCTGCAGGGAGGTGAAGTATTTTTCAAGGCGCAAGACTGTCTCTTGCATCCTAGAGTTGCTCCCCAAATGCCCTGGGCTGCCACGCTGAGAAGCTTTCTAACCCCGGCAATGTAAGATCCAAATGCAGAGCATGTGTGTCAGGAGGACGCTCAGACCCGCCTCGTCCCCACCTGACAGGCAGCGGTCCCTGTACTGGACATGTGCTAGTCAAGGCTGTGAAAACCCAAGCAAACCTCTCCACAAGAAAATCCGGAATTCCAGAAATCAGAATTCCCTCCGTAAATACAGGTGACGGTGCCCACCCTTCACGGCCCGTGCTTTCACGGCTTTGGCGGAGGGAGCCCCGGCAGCCGCATCTGGAGGAGGATATGCACGTGGAGGGGAGGCAGGGTCTCTGGAATCTTCTGGCAGCTCTACAGAAAATGGGGCATGAGCTACAAAGCTTCCGTTCAAGGCGGAATCAGAGGTTTCCATCCACTGATGACAGGTGGAGGAGCTCCCACGGGGAGAAATCGGGTGTGGGCGGACTGAACCTGGCACAGACACCGTTCACTGTCGGAACCCCGGACCCAGGTCTGGACTGCCGTCCACCCCCCCGTGCACTGCACGAGCCCTGTCTGTGTTCACCAGTGGAAAGCGTGCGCAGGGTACACGCGCCCATCTCCCTACGCCGTCAAGCACAAGACACCGCCACTGGGCCGGGTCTTGTCTGGACCCACTTTTCGCCCTTGTCTGGCCCTGAGACCTTGCCTTCCTTCCAGGCAGCTTGTTTTTAAGGAGGTGATGTCACGCTTTGAGAAAGCGACGTAAGAATCAATCATCAGATTCCTGAGTGCCGTGTCTTGGCCGTATGAAAACAGCCTTCCTACCTGCTTCTTCCTTCTGAAGACATTTCCTTTCCTAGCGACAGTTTAGTTTTGAAGAGAGGACTTCAGAGTCCGTTGTCTGTGAATACACAACATCAGGTCCCCTTTACGCAGCTTTTGCTCCACCCCCAGGCCTTGGGGAAGCGGAGCCTGGAGCCTGGAAACAGTCATCACATTAACATACCTGTACATTCTTTCCTTCCACCAGGGTGTGCTGGGTGCATGAGGTGCACTGGCTCTGGCCTGGGCTCTGGAGACACAACAGTGAGCAGGACACAGAAAAGTCCTGGATCCTAGGGAATTTACGCCCGTTGGGAGCAGAAAGAAGGAACTGGAAACCGGAAGTGAGGCCATCCACAAACAAACATAAGCAGCTCCGGGCAGGAAATGAAGGGGGGCGGCATGCGACAGGGTGGGAGGCGAGGCCATGGTCAGCCGTCGGGGAGGGAATGCTGGTCAGTGGTGAGTGTGAGCCGAGTGTCCAGGTCCTAACTCCCAGGACCTCTTCTGGACACGGGGTCTCTACAGAGGCAGTCGCGTTAAGAAGAGTCATTAGGGTGGACCCCGAGCCACTGTGTGGGGTGTCCTGGTAAGAAGAGGGATTTGGACAGAGCCAGGAAGAAGACAGCATCTCCGGGCCAAGGAGGGAGCCCTGGGCCAGATCCTTCCCCACGCCCTCAGAAGCAACGGCCCCGGAGCCTCGCTCTCCGACTCCCGGCCTCGGGAACCGTGGCAGCACCTTCCCTGGTTTCAGCCGCCCCGTCTGCGGTGCCATGTTTCTTGAGCACACTCGTGCAATGGGAGTGTGGCCTTGAACTCGGCCCTGAACGAGGAGAAAAGCCTTCCCGATCCGCGGGAAGAGAACCTGCTGGAGGGAACAGCAGGAGTACTAGTGGAGGGACCAGAACCAGATACATTCCCGGTCCGTGGCTGGTGCTCTGCCTGATTGGAAGCTGCCCTCCTCCCAGGGGCGATGGCGTGGCTTTCGCAGAAAACATTCCCAACCCGCCACAGCAGCCACACGAGGACATGTGTCACGCGACCTCACTTGTCCCCGATGAAGGCGATGTCTAGTAAGTGCTATTTCCATACAGCCAAGACAAGGCATTAAAGAAAGAAAAAGCCAGAAAATTTATCACCGGACCGAAAACAAAGACATTTTCGAGATGAAGAAAAACTCATTAATTTATGTTCTATGACATCACCACACTTACATATAACATTTTATTTGATTTAGTACTGTAGCAATAAAATGTAAGCAATGAAGTATTCACTTACTGGGCAACTAAATTTATTGAAAAACAATCTGTGGGCATGTCTTTTATAAATCGTGATTTGGGGCTTTTGTCCCTGACTATAGGACACACTCTGAATAAATTCAGAGGTCTTTTGCACTTTTTAAAATGCTTCTTTAATACAATTTTATTGAGATGTAATTCACATAACAAGCATACATCTGTTCACTCACTTAAAGCATTAGTTCAGTCAAAGGGTGCAATTCAGGAGTTTTTAGTATATTCCCATGCTGTGAGCCCTCAGCATTATCAATTTTAGGAAATTTTCATCACCCCAGAAAGAAATCCTGGACACAACCTCAGTCACTCGCTGTTTCTCCCCAATGTGCCCCCCACGCCAAGCCCAGCCTGAGGCAACCACCAGTCTACTCCCTGTCGTTCCAGATCTGCCTCCTCCCATTTCCTATAAAGGGAGTCTGAAACATGGGGACTTTTGGGACCTGCTTCTGTCACCGACATAATGCTTTCATGCTGCAGGACGTGTCTGGACCACATTCCTTTGTATTTGTGAAATATGCCATTGTACAGACACACTGCCTTCTGTGTCTGCTCACGGGTTCGTGGACATCTGGGCTGGGTCCACTTCTTGGCTATGATGAATACTGTTGTGAACATCTGTGTACACGTGTTTGCTTGGCCACGTGGTTCCGTTTCTCTTGGGTCTGTATCCAGGGGTGGAGTTGCTGGGTCCCATGGGAACTCTATGTTTAATCCTCTGAGGAGGAGCCACACTGTTTTCAAAGTGGCACCATCTCATAGCCCACCAGCAGGTTTGGACTCACAGAGTTCGAACCCCTGTTGTTCAAGGGTCAGCTGTGTATAAAGGAACCAGGATTCAGACCCAAGCAGGAGAGCTTCAGTGCATGCACTTTAAGGAAATTATCATCATTTTGACTTAAAAGTTTAAAACCCAGAGAAATTAAAAAAACAGTACAATGAGTAGCTGAAGACCCTTTACCTGTGCTCACTTATGTGCTCCATCTCCCCCACCTCCTCTGAGACAGACAGACAGAGAGACAGACACACGTACACATGCATTCATATGATACCTCAAATTTAAGTCCCCGTCTCTGTTCCACATTTATATCCCCTTTTTCCACAGCCATACCCTGGTTCCCAAAAATGTGGTCAGAGAACATACTTTTTATGATTTCAGTCTTTTTGAATATACTGTCCTATTTATTTGGATTTAGCACATGATGCGTCCTGGAGAAAGAACTGTGTGTACTTGGGAAGAATGGGTCTTCTGTAGCCATTGGGGGGTGTACTGTAAATATCGGGTTAAGTGGGTTAGTGCTGTTCAGGGCTTCTGTCTCCCTGATGGTTGTCTGTCCAGTTGTTCTATCAGTTATTGAGAGTAGGGTTTCGAGAGGTCTTATTATTATGATTAAATTGCCTGTTTCTCCTTTCAGTTCTGTCAGTTTTTGCTTCAGGTGCTGTGGGGCTCTGTCCTTAGGTGTGTGCACAGTTATAATTTTTATGTTTTCCTGATGTATTAATCCTTTTCTCACTATGAGATGCCCCTCTTTGTCTCCAGGAACAGTTCTTGTCCTCAAGGCCATTTTGTCTGGTGTTAGAACCACCAGGTTAGCTCTTTGGTTACTGTTCACAGGTACATTTTCTCATCCTTTTACTTTCAAACTTTTGTGTCTTTGAATCCAAAGTGTATCTCTTGTAGGCAGTGAATACAGTTGAGTCTTGCTGTTTTTACCCAGTCTGACAATCTCTGCCTTTTGATGTGGTGTTTAATCCATTCACGTTTAATGTAGTAACTGCAGTGGTTGGTTTCCATGATTTTTTTATGTGCTGCTGGATTCTGTTTGCTACTCTTTTCTTTAGGTTTTTATGGAGAGATTTAGACATGAGGATGGCCTGTGGCTTCCTTTCCCATGCCCTCTGTCTCATCCTTTGGTATTATTGTTGAACTTGTTTCATAACAATTATTTGGAATGTTTCTTTCCTTTTCTGTTATCTGGAACAGTTCCTGTAGCACTAGGATGATGCAGTCTGATGATTTTGCAGAATTCCCTTGTGACACCATCTGAGATGATCCTTTTGTTGTAGATGGTTTCCTGGATAACTTTTGTTTCTCTTCTAGAAATTCATCTGTTTAAGCTTTTCTACTTCTACCAGGGTTAATTGGGTGAGAAGCATTTTTCCTGGTAACTACCCATTTCAGCTAGGTTTGCAAATTTATTTGCAAAGACTTCTGTAAATATTCTCCTATGACTGTAAAATTCTTCTGAGTTTCAGTGGTCTGTTCCCCCTCGGTCTGTCTGGTTTTGCTTTCTCCTTTCTTGTGATCAGGGTTGCTGGTGACTTCTTTATTTCACTGATTTTTTTTCGGAGAAAATCCATTTGGATATATCAGTTGCTTTGCTTTTGCTTTCTACTTCATTAATTGCTGCTTTTATTATTGCTTTCCTTCTACTTCCTTTGGTTTGATATATTGTTTCCTTTTTATGGCCTTTTGTGTCAAGCAAGGCTCCCCTACTGTGCAGTACCACCTCACTGTCCCCCTTCAACCAACTGCTCCCCTCACGTGAGACTCCTGCTTCCTGCCATTTCCAGGTTGATAACAAACATTTGTCCAACAAGTGGACAATGAATGGACAATTCTCTGTGGTGCGCAGCCTTCCACATAGGATGGGTGCTCAGTGAGCACTGATTGAGTTGATATACAAGTAAGTCTACGCAACAGGAGGGCTGAGAATAAGATCTTCTTTGCCTGAAACAGGGATTTAAACTCTGTTATCTCTCAGGATTGGCTGGCTGGTCCTGTGATTCTCTGGTCATCGGTTTCATAAATCCACATTTGTCTATCTCTACATCTGTAGACAGCCCCTCTTGATCTCTGTGTCTGCCACAGATTCTTCACAAATACACTGGTGCTTATCCAAAATCAGAGAATAAATGTACCCTTTGAGTATGAAAATGCTGTGGGGGCCGCCTGGAGCAGAAGCACCCTGACATGTCGATCACCCTCTTTCTGAGCTCTGCCCTGACATAAGATGGTGGGTGACAAGGCAGTCTCAAAGGTCTCACCCATGCGGAGGATGCGGCAGTTAGTTGACAAACGTCTAAAAGTGAAATCACAGTGTGTTGCGCTAGTTTAATGAGCCAGCAACCCACGCCGTGTGACAAGTGGAGAGACAAGCCATATGACTCCTAGCATCACTCACCATAATTATGTTACGACCTCATAACTGATGTAGCTGATGTGCTAGTCAGCTTACGCCACAAACCACATAATGGTATTTGTGCAAAATGACATCTGAATTTTTCATGTGCTGCGGAGAGGATAGTTTAGTCCCTCATTTCCAAAAGATGCAACCAAGACCCAGGGAGATATCCAGGACCACATCAGTGCGCTTGCTACCTCAGTGGTTCCTGGGCTGCCCAGGAGAATCATGGGAGCAACTTTCATGAATGCCTGATTGTGGGGCAGAGCAGGGTGGGGTGGGGGCCCGGTCAGGGTTCCTCATCACTCCAAGTGATAGTGCTGCACTCTGAGGGTGACACCCACCATGTGGGCCCGGAGCAAAGAGAGTAAGACCAAGATCTTCATTCAAGACCAAGGCCTCTTGATCCTGGCCCCATGCTGTCTTCCAGGATGCCAGACCGCACCTGCAGTGTCAGAACTGGGGCCCACCCGACTCCCACCCAGGAGTCTGGAAGCCCTTGTGACTCTGGTGCTGGGATGTGGCCATTTCAGGTTACTTTTCCCCTGTGCTGTGAGGTGCCTCATTCCCAGGTGTGATGACCACCGAAGATCCCAGACATGACCCTACAAATGGAATGACAATGGAATATCTGACTTGGAGACCTTCCATGCTCTTGAAACACCAACAGGAGATCCTGACAGACAGAGACCCATCATCGCTGCGCTGGAGGAGCAGCCGGGCGGCTGGCGAGGAGCAGGACGGCGGGGACTCTGATCCATGCGTCAAACCAGCTCTCCCACTTTCCCCGATGGTGGGAACAGAATAGACTCAGAGGCGTGCCGACAGCAAGGGTGTTGCCAGCTCTGCATTCTCTAGGGCCTAGATCTTAAACTCAAAGTAGACTGGGATGATGTAGGGGATGAAGAAAGAGAAAACCAGACAAGCCTACCGAGACAACAGCTGGCGGTTACGGTGGCTACAGTGGACAACACTGACTCGGAATTCATTCGGTATAGATGCTTCTAGGGCATCGGCTCCACTATATTTACTGAGCATCTACTGTGTGTCACACCGTGCTCTGGGTGCTTGGGTGTCGCTGGAGCACCCGCCAGAGGAAGGCCTCTGTGTCACAGAGCTGCTGGCTGCGGCTGCAGGTGGGTAACTTTACATTTCTGAAAATGGAATGTCACTCCTTCATGACCGAATGTTTATTACGTGAAGGGAGATGCCACAGGCAGAATCAGAGTGCCTAAAACATACTTCCATAGAGTAACAGCCAGATTATTGGTCTGCTGTTGGCGCCAGCCAGTCCTGCCTGTGGACACCAAGTTGCAAAGGGATGTCCCTCTTATGTGCTGAAGGGCACCTGCCGTAGGAGGGGTGAGTGGTCCCAGGTCCAAGTGGCCCCAGGAGGCTCAATGTATAGGAGGCCAAAATAGAGCCTTCCAGGTCAGGCTCCCCAAAACCGCAAGAGAACCAGAGAGATGCTGCCTTGCCGGGGACGTGAGGCCGACTCTGCCCGCTGGGCTCTCGGGCCTCTTTTGAGGTCTTGATGCCAGTTTGTGCTGGGCTGTGGATGCCGCGTGCTGATCCAGACCATGGGGAACAGAAAGCCTGCTTAGTGAATCATCGGGATGATAAATCATGCTCCTTCTTACTCTTGTCTGCATGCCAGAGAGACATGCCCGATCCTCCTGCACCGTTCACATGGCTTGTGCTGGGGGAAAATGACTCATTGGGGGAGTAATGAGGATAATTAAGGATGTGTTCTGCAAACTGTCACTGCACAAGTGTCAAGCGCACATTTGGAGAGAGGGGGTTTCTTCGTGACATTGCGGGAATCATGTCAAAGTTTTGCGGGACAGAGCTCTCCAGAACCGGCAACAGTAAGTAATTACAATGCAGTATGTACTTTGAAAGTGGAATGTTTCGATGGGGTGAGCTGCCGGAGGTCCGGAGGGCATAGATGTTATTCTCCCCCACCCGGGCTCATCCCGCCAGAGAAGCTCTTGACCACCACTGCCCACCTGTCTTCTCTCTCGCGTCCCCAGGCGATGGATCTGGAAGTCCCCGTGCTGGCAAGGAACATCCCCGGAAACGCGGCGGTGGTGAAGCATGAGGTCACAGGGCTGTTGTTTTCAGACCCACAGGTAAGGAAGGGTTTGTCTGGAACGGTTTCCATTGGCGTTTCCCTCACCAGTCCGGGGTTCCCATCTTTTGGCCAGTGCCCAGTGCCCCCTCCCAGTGGCGGGAGCCCTGTGTGCAGCGTGTCAGCTGTGTCCACAGGGGCAGCCGTGTGACTTGGAAAAACCTAGAACAGAGACCCAAACCCAAGACCTGCTCCTGTTCCTGACTCTGCCTCCGACGAGCGGCATGGCCTTGAGCATGTCAGGTCACCTCTGAGATGCTTGGGTTTCTGATCTCCAAGCAGGGGCTCTTCAGATACAATCTTAGACTTCTAGGACACCTACTGGTTTTCAGAAGATTGCCATATATCTGATCATTGTAATACCTCAAAACAACGTACAGAATAAGCCAGTACTTGTGCGTATGCGTGCACATCCACATGCGTTTGAAAATAATATATGGGATGGTGCAGCGGAGGGTGGGCAAGGCCAGGGCACACGCGTGTGTGGGGACCTCCAGGAAGTGTGTGAAGGGGTCTGGAGTGTGCCCGTGTGTGTCTGCCTGCAGTTGGCCCTTGGGGAAGGCGGGCAGGGCGTGTGGCTCTGAGCTCATCATCCCTGCTGCCTCCTGGAGGGGTGATAGGGGCAGACGAAGGGACACACAGGGCTGTGTGTGTTCACGGCATGTGGCCGGGGCTCCGGACCTGTTGTCACCACGGGAGAGACACGGCCGCAGCCGCCACCTACCATCCGGTGGCAGGAAATAAGTCTCTTAGGCCTGAGTTTTGTCCTTTGAGTCTTTAAAAATTAGGTGCTGTCTACCAGCATCTTTATTAAGCACATGTTATATTCAAGAGTACAGGGATTTATACTTAAAAATTATAGTCGAGTCAAAAAATTGAAAATTCAGTTTTCAGATTCCTGCAGCGGATGCTTCATCCGAGACAGCTTTCCCTTTCCCTTTCTCTTGCTCTGACCATGCTCACCTCTTTTCCCTGCGACCTGGGGCGCTGGCTCCCGTGCGACTGTCCAGCCAAAGGCATCCTGGCCGCTAACCCTTCCCTTTCGGCAGCAACGCCTGTGAGCCAGAGAAGATCAGGACCAGAAGAGCAGACGGGAGTTACTGTCGCTTCTCCAAACAAAGGCTTATTGCTTTTTGCCGCCTTCTGTAAGCCTGGAAATCAACGCCCACCAGGCTTTTAGGTCAGACAGTGTTGCCTCCACCCTGGCAGAGAGATTTTATTTTCATCTCCCCAAACACAGCGTCTGTTTATTTTGTAGCTCAACTCCAGAGGCTCTGACTTTGTCAGTCAGTCTGTACACGAGGACAGAAGCATGCTGGCTGTCTCACAGAGTGTCCGGCAAGGGATCCCTCTGACGCTTGCCAATGAGTGTCCCCCCAACCCCGGCAGGGTCGCGTCACCCCTGCTCCCAGACACGGCGCCGCGCCACACAAAGTCAGGGACTTATTTTGATTCTAAAACATGAACGCTGGTGTCACAAAGGATGTTTAAAAAAACGAGAACACTTTAGATTTCACATGGGGGGAGGCTGCGTTTTTTAACACACTGAAAAGTGCACTAAGACGCGGCTGTCCCAGGCAGCTTTGTTTTGTCTTTACGTTCACGACCGGACTCAACCGAGCGCAGGGTGGGAAGCCTGCCTCCAAAACAAAACGCATTTTAAATAAGCCAGCCACGTGGTTAGAGGCACCGCGAACGAGGGGGTCAGGTGCACGAACCGCTGGCTGGCTGCCAGAGTGTGGAAGGTTGATTTCAAATCTGTATTCAGATATGGATCCGGAGCAGCATTTCACTTGCTAAGGGGGGGCTCGTGGGCCGGAGAGCCAGCCTACCCAGGGTGATGCACACGTGTAAACTGTGAATGCGCTGCCGTCTGAGGCGGATCTGGAGTCGGCAGCTCAGTATGAGCTCTCCGTCCCTGACGGAGATGACAGAGAAACCGGATAGGAAGAGGGAAGGTCGCCGATCGCTCACACCTGCCAGACCCCCCCACCTTACCCTTCGAAACAGCAAACAGACCTCACACAGGCTTTGCCTGAAGGACCTCAGTGGTTGTCAAAGGGCATCCCTTATCCTCTTATTTTGTGAACCTTTGTATAAAACTAAACCAACAGCGGGGGCAGAGTCCTGACCTTACCTCTGAGAGTGTAGCCCATACTCTGTGGTGGTCCACGCCTGGGCCCTCGCTCCCTGTCCCCTTCCCGGTGCCTGTGGCACCCCGCGGCCCCATCTTCACACCCCATGACAACCTATGCGTCATAGGCGCGGTCGGGGGACAGGCTGCTGCCCACGCGCGGTGTCCTGAGAGCCCACGCCTTCTGGCCGTCAGGTTCAGGTTCGTGGCCAAGCTAGCGTTGTGTGCAGGCGCTGTCTCCCAGGGCTCCTGGCGGCTCCGAGTCTGGCCATAGAAAGTGAAAGATCAAGGCTAATCCGGTTAATGCCTTGGTCAGCCCCGACAGTAGGAGGGAGGTCTTGAGGGAAGAGGTGTGTGGTAAGTCAGTATGGCTGTGGGGGGTGTGGGGGGAGAACAGAGAAGAAGTGGGTTTGAGAAAGGCTCCCGTGAGGCCAGGCGGCTCATGCTCTCGTGTCTGGGGCCCACGGGGGAGACCACGTGCCCCGGGTGAGCGAAGGGCCCGCACAGGGCCCATTGCCGGCCGCCCTGGGCCCACAGGCCCAAGTCACAGCCCTTGCTGTGTTTGAAGAGAGGCTGGAATTCCCAAATTATACTTGGATTGTGCCCATTTGTAAATGTTGATAATTCAGTCGGCTGTTAGTTTAGATGCTCTGTGGGCCTATCCAACCATCCAACCATCCAGGGGAAGATCTGCTGGGTGGCTACCAGTTAGACATCTGCTCTGGATGAGGCCTGTCCCCTCTCTGAGCGTGTGAGGGATGGGACTGTCACACGGCAGCGACATTCCCAGCAAGGTCGTGTCCGAGGCGGCGTATTCCTAGCTAGGGACCACGTCTTGCCCTCCAGACACAAGAGAAGGCTAGGGGTCCTCAGGTATCTTGGGAGTGAGGGTCTCACCAGCCAGAAAGAGGAGTCTGGGCTTCGTGCGGCAGGACAAGCATAGTGGGTTCTGTCTCTGCAAGACGAGGCAGGGGAACTGGGTCCCTCATGCACCAGACGAGTTAGAGAACTTTCCCTGAGGCCCTGCTATGTGGCGGGCACTGAGCGAGGTCCTGGAGGTAGAAGCTGGGAGGGAAAGGGTCCAAGCCACACGTGGGGTTTGGGGGCCAGGCAGGGTGGCTCTGCGATAGGGCCGCACAGCCTCTTCCCGAGCACCACGGGCACCACCCCCGTCGGATGTCGTAGGGATCGGCTCTTGGGACTCTCCCAGGTTCTGCCCAGCGAGGATGGGGCCGGCCCCGACGGACGAGGTGCCCCGCAGGGAAGGGCCCTCGCGGCAGCAGAGCCCCGCGCAGGAAGCTGGGGCATGATGGCGAGCGTGCCGGGAGCAGGAGGGGGTGCGGTGTGCCACGTGCCGGGCCTGGAGGGAATGAGGGGGACGAACAGGAACCATGAGGTGCACGGGACACGGGAGCGCGGTGCGCATGGTGCTGATGCGGCCCCCACGGTCTCTGTCTCCTGGAGTTAGGCTGTGACAGCCACACATTTTTTTTTATAGAAAAATCGACAACATAAAAATTAAATGAAGAAGTATCACAGTTGAGCATTTGGAGACAACCTCCTATTTCGGCAGGACGCATGCAGATGGGGTGCATTCGCTTTCCCATTTGGACGGGGCTCTCTGTAGCCTCTTGGTTGTCACGGGTGGTGAATCCATCCGCTCTCTGCTCCAGTTTCTCTGTCTGAGAACGGACTCATGGGACAGCCCAGAGTTCCAGTCCCTTTCTGCAATACCAAAATCCAAAAAGCGCTTGAAAAGCAATTTGATTTTTTGGGAGTTTGGTGCCAAAACTCACTTGGCAGCAAACTCGTATCTGAGCTGATGTGAAGTTATTTGTGGCTTTGTTTATCCTGCTTCGCCTGACTAGTCGTACGTTTTGATTTGGAAATTGTGGCGTGTTTCGTATGGGGCACCACTTAGAGCCACCGCGGGGCACACGGTGAAGAGAGAGGGCATAAACCCCATCATTAAATCCCCCCCTGCTGATTTCCAGACAGCAAGCACGTGATGGATGCTGCTGATGGTGATGATGTGTGGCCGCTCCGAGCCCATTGTCCTCCCTCGGCAGAGAGGAGAGTGGGAGGCTTTCTCCTTGACCCAGTCGGGAGCATAAGAGGATTAACGTTCCCACCATGTGGGTCAGAGCCGTGCACTGTCCTGTCCCCACCTCATCCCCCCTAAGGGCCATGTCCCCAGAGCACGGGAGGTGGATGAGGGAGAGGCTGGGAGCTAACCCAGGCACAGGCGTTTGCAAATCCCCGTTGGCCAATTATTTACACCCATTTCTCTTCCACCTCCTTCTTTGCAGGAGTTTGTTCAATTAGCAAAGAGACTGGTTCGTGATCCTGCGTTGGAAAAAGAAATTGTGGCCAATGGAAGGGAGTATGTGAGAAGGTGTCACTCGTGGCAGGCGGAAAGAGACACCTATCAGAACCTCGTCCAGAACCTCGAGGGAAGCATCAAGGAGTAAGGGCACTCGCCTGGTGTTGTCACACGCCCGCCCGGGGCCACCGCGGACGCACGGCCCTGGGTGAATACCAGAGACAGAGTTCTGGGCCAGTGGGGCCAGTCCGGTTCACATCACGCCAGTTTCAATGGAATCATTGATAAACAACAGTTATAAGGCAGAACCTCGTCCAAAACCTGTCAGGACTTCCAGAGAACATCCCGGATGTGTCTACCAGATCAGCTCCTGGGTGCAAGAGCTTCTGGGGGCTCCTGGGGGCCGGGAAGGGGGAGGCGGGGAGAGAGGGGTATTAGCTGCTATGGCACTTAGAGGCTAGCCGCACAGCAGACACGTCCCACCTGCCTTCTGATGACCTGTAAACCAGCAACTAAAGTCCAACGTGTCCACAGAAGGGAGTCCACAGAATAAAGTGTGTCACCGTCAGCCCACGGACACAGCCGCTATATGTTCATGTTGTGAGCAGCATCCAAGAGAAACCACCCCCCCCGACCCCAGTCCCAGCCCTGAACACACAGGTACTGACGCTCGAGCATCTCCTGAAGGGCGGTTTATGCACAATCACCAAGTTAATGCCAAAGTGTAGACGTGAAACTGTGCTTTCCCACAAGCATTGTACCCGGCTCCAGTTTCATACTCAGTTAACTCTATGTTTCAACATTTTGTGTATCGGTTTCAGTTTGCTGAGGTCCATGTTTGAATGATCCAGGAGTAAGTCTCCAGAGGGTACCGAGACACCATGACCTCCGAATACAGAGGGGAAATGCACAGAATGGGATGCCGTGTTTTGCGGCAAAGAGGCGCCGCTTCCTCTTGGCTTCTGGGCCTGCATCTTGGGTTAGTTCTGCCCTTGCCCCTTCCCCACTTTCCCCGGGGTGCTGATGCCACAGGGCCTGCTGGATGGGCAGCTTCCTGGGATCTTCAGCTTTACCAAGCAGACTGTGCGGGCTCAGCTGGCAGCCGGTGCTTGGGAGCTGAACCTGCCTGCCTGTCATTGATCTGTAGCTCTCAACAGTGTCCGGAGAGTTGCTCTTTATGCATTTTTCCTATGAAGACACAGTGTCTTCTTCCTCCCACTGCTTGTGTCTCCCCACGGCCACCCTCACTTCCCTTCTGACCCCGTGTCCTCTTGGAAAGTCAGGGGCCCGTGTGGGAACGACACACGGAAGGCCTCCCTACACAAATCCTGGTGCCCGGGCCGCATTCCTGACCAGTCACATCAGCTCTCGGGGCTGGAGGCACCCAGGCCTGAGCTCTCCAGCGACCCAACACTGCCACCGAGACCAACAGGGCAGCTACTGCCTTAAAGGGTCCCTCTGAATAGGGACTGGAATTTGACAGAAAACGAACATCTGAGAAGAGGCTAGATGATGACTTTGTATTGAAAAGTGAATCCAGAATGAAGAAGGTGGGTTAAATTCGCCTGATGTTTAACACGCTTGATTTATGCCCGCAGAACTGAAACTCTAAGTGCAGGGCCAAGAAATAGTTCCCACCAACAAGTAAATCACAAGCCAGACAATGCGCAGCACTCGGTCAGTGCTCCCCGGAGCTTCTCCTTCCTCTGGTCTGCAGCGTCTGTGCCGTGGTCCTTGGAGACTGTCTCACCCTTGTCAGCTACCTGGTTCCAAGCCGCCAGCGACCCAGCGTGTGCTTCAGGTCACTCCCCAGCACCTGTCCATCCACATCAGGAAACCCCTCACTTCCCACAAGATGTGCAACTTTACTTCTCAGTTGATTTCCAGAGGTGGTGGCATTTAAACTCTTTGACCATGAAGTAGTTAAGAGGGACCAACTCTACGCAGGTATAGACAGCAAGAGGATGCCACTGAGGATTACACCTGGTTGTACTTGATCGGAAATTCAAGGTAACAGTGGTATAAGCAGGAGAGAAACATGTGTCTTCTCTCCCAAGTCCGGGATTACCCGCACGTGTGGTGGTCCCGGGGGCAGGAACTCGGACCCTCCATCCTCTTGTTTCCCCCCCCAGTACATGGCCATCTCTACCTCACGCAGCAGGGTGGCTGCCCACGTGCTGCCATCACACCTGATTTCCAAGTTGCAGGAGGGTGGAAGGAAGGCAGGAACAGAGACTTACCTATCTCCTTTCTTTCAGGACAATTCCCACCTCAACTCACAGGCTGAGTCCCACACCCAGTTGCAAGGGACACTTGGAAATGCAGGCTTCACTCCGAGCAGCCATGCACCCAGTTAAAAACCGGGGGGGGGGGGGAGGGTCCATTATCAAAAGAGACAAGCAGGTTGCACATCAAGAGACAGTCTGTAGGTGTCGTGGCCATTAAGAAATGCTGGTTGTAGGCTCTGTAGCCCCAGGCATCCTGCTTATTACTAACCACTGGGTACCTTTTAATGCCAAGAGAAGTGTTTTCCACAGGTTTTAATTTACTTTTAAGGCCATCCAGACACGGCTCACCTTCCCTCCCCAAGATCTCATTTCTATACAAGCTCTCAGCCAGTGCAGTGTATCCATTAGTACTTCTCACCCTGCAGCATCTGAATTAAAGACTGAGTCAAAGAGCACATGGGTTTTCACCTGAATCTCCTACTAAAATGTTCATTCCCACTGGGGGACACCCGACAGACCCTGGAAGACACAACAAAGCGAGGAAGCGTACTGACGATGTATATGTGATCTCAGCCACTCTGGAAGTCCTCATGGTCGCCCCGGATGTGTGAACAGGTCATTGTTCACGTTGCAAGGTCTTGGGAAACTGAACTCTTTTTGGGAGGGATCCATGAGTCAGAGTTTGGTGAGGAACAAAGGAAGAATTTACATTCATCAGAAGATACAGCGAAGTTCCTTCTTGCCTCCTGTTTGGCCTCTACAAATAGTGTTTAAAACAAAAACCCCTTGTGGTCAAAGTTATCGGTGGGAACTCCCCGCGTGCGGCCTGCTTGAGCGTGATACACCGAGTCACGCGCACAGGCAGGTGTGAGCACCGCCGCGTGAGGTTAGGGAAAGCCAGCCTCTGCAGGTCTGGTGATCAGATGGTCCCGGTTTTAGATGGCGAACTGAATCCCTAAGCAGGACGTGGGGAAACCCTCCCTGTTTCCCGGTGGGGGTGGTTTTCTTCTGTCTTCCTATGGCCTAGGTAGCCACGCCCCCTTTCCTCCAGGGAGGAGTTCCTGGAAGAGCAAAGCCAGGCCCCCTGCTCTTGCTCCCGGGCCTGCAGCCTAGCCGAGAACAAACGGAGCTCCCTCCCCCGCCTGGAGCCAAGCCACACAGAGCCCTTGCGGCCAGAGTCAGCGAGGACACGAGGGACAGAGCAGCGAAGCCCCAGGATTCTCAGAATAGAAACCATGGCCAAAAGGGAGGACAAGCAGTTTCTAAGAGAATCTCACAGACTCTAAAGGAACCTCTGGCACAAGTGAATACAGAGAAGGTGGGGGTGTCCTTTAGTTCAAAGGCATGACCTCATCTTTATCTCTGGCCGCATCTATTTTAAAGAGATTACGTTACAATCTACTTCTTTCAGACTAGTAGGTAGGCCTTGAAAAATCCAGACTAAGAAATGTCTTTCCAAAAATGTATACAATTCAGCTAAATCACAAAAGCTTTCTCTGTAGGAAGGAAAAAAGGGTGGTGCAGCCTTTCTCAGGAGAGGGCCTGGAATCACCGTGCACGGCCCAAAGCCTCTGCAATCAGAAGGAGCACGCTCCACTAAAAATGGATTTTCTTCTTTAGCATCTCATATAAAAATATGCTAAGTATTTCCCCAAACCAGAAAGGTTAGCAACCAGACATCCCCAAGAAACCGGGGAGCCAGGAGCCTAGTCATTCTGCATGAGGAGCTTGTCTTGGTTTTTGGTGCCCGTTCCTCCACTTTAGAAATACCTGGAAAAACCGCTTACAAAGTCTAAAGATCTGATTTCCAGCCACTAAGAAGGCTTCCTTCCCTCTGTCCTTTTCTCGCCCCTCTTCCCGGACCTCTAGATGCATTTAGAAGCTCAGCAGGCATATCAACAACTGTGACTGGGAAGGCACCTGCATTTGTGACTTGGGTGGGCTGTCACTGACAGCGAGTTTCAGGTGAACCCCCGTGTCCCAGGCGTGGTGCTCAGTGTGGGTAACAGCGACCTTCCCCCAAGCCCCGAGCTCCTGGAGAACAACAGAGGTTGAGAAATGTCCCCGACTTTCACGTTCCGGAAAGGACTACTGCAGAGGACCCCCTTCCCCACACGACTGGGGTGCACTCAAAGCCAGCGCACCTGTCCCTGAGTCCCCACCCGGTCTCATCAGGGATGGGCTGACGTGCTTTTCCCCACTGATCAACCAGACCACGTGCCTGCTCGCCACGCTGTGTCCAAGCTTCCCTGTCCTTCCCGGGCCTGTCTGGTCTCCGCTGAGCCAGCAGACCACCCCCACCACCACCATATCCCCCATCCCATACTTTCCAGCCTTGTGGGCTCCTCCCCATAAAGTAGAAGCCCGTATGCTGGAACCCACAGCTGCCTACAGCTCTTGACGGTCAGTGTCCTCCCTGTTGTCAGAAACCTCAAGAATCCTTTCGGAGAAAATCCCTCTGTACTAAGCAGGATTTGTTCCCGATCAGGCAGTGCCTTCTCCGCAATATCCAGTGCTCACAACAGCCCTGTGACCTCACTCCGTCCCTCCCTGTCCCTCTGATGCTATGTAGGACCATCTCCATATCCCCATCCAGCATCATCCGAGGTATGCTAAGGGGTTGGACAAGTGTTCCACCCAGGTCAGAGGGAGCTGAAGGGGGCCAGAATATGCAGCCCCAAAATATGCCCCTTTGGTGCCTGGATTATTCTGAGCTGGAGACCACTGGGAACGAACAGATGCAGAAAGAAGGCTTCTTGGAGCTTGCCTTATCTGACTAAGAGCAGACGCTTCTGAGAAACGAGGTTGGCCATAAATCCCCCATCCCCGGGGAGTTTTACAGCCGTGGAGAAGCCGGAAAGTGAGAGTCAAGTTGGCCCGCACAAGTGAACTTTACTAAATAAACCTTATCTACCTCGAGTTCCCTTGTATATTTACCTTCCCACACTTTACTGCCCAAGAAGCTCAAAACGCTTTTCCTTCAGTCTTGTCACTTCTCCACAAATGTATTGCCCTTTGTTCAAAGGGGTTTTGTAAAAGACTGCAGGTCTGACC